CGTGTTTGTGTGTGTGTGTGTGTGTGTGTGAGAGAGTGTGTGTGTGTGTATGTGAGAGTGTGTGTGTGTGCTGTTAAAGCCTCTTCAGATTCTCCTGCGGGGAGTTTGGCACGTCATGCACTGGACCTGAAAACACCTGGAATCACATCTGAAGGCCTGTTCACACCAAACGTGACGCCACAACGACACCGAAACTTGAATTTTAAGAGGCATTTGGAACGTAAACAACACAAATCGCGTTTTAAAATTTTTGGGGGAAAAAAACACAGGGACTTAATGTGAGTGATGTTACTGTTAACTAAAACTAAAAACTATTCAAACTCACCAATTTACCCTGAACAAAATTATAAACGCAACACTTTTGTTTTTGCCCCCATTTTTCATGAGCTGAACTCAAAGATCTAAGACTTTTTCTATGTACACAAAAGGCCTATTTCTCTCAAATATTGTTCACAAATCTGTCTAAATCTGTGTTAGTGAGCACTTCTCCTTTGCCGAGATAATCCATCCACCTCACAGGTGTGGCATATCAAGATGCTGATTAGACAGCATTATTATTGCACAGGTGTGCCTTAGGCTCACATTTTAGAGTGGCCTTTTATTGTGGCCAGTCTAAGGCACACCTGTGCAATAATCATTCTGTCTAATCAGCATCTTGATATGCCTCACCTGTGAGGTGGATGGATTATCTTGGCAAAGGAGAAGTGCTCACTAACACAGATTCAGACAGATTTGTGAACAATATTTGAGAGAAATAGGCCTTTTGTGTACATAGAAAAAGTCTTAGATCTTTGAGTTCAGCTCATGAAAAATGGGGGCAAAAACAAAAGTGTTGCGTTTATAATTTTGTTCAGTGTAAATAAAATAAATAAAATAAAATAAAATAAAAAATAAAAGAAACATATTACATTAACAAATTAAACTTAAAAAACCAAAATCAGAAATCGTTCCTTGGTAACTAAAGTTTAAGTACTAAAATTTCTAAAACTAAAACCTCAAATAAAAATAAATTAGAAAATGGGCTTAACTGCAGTGTTGTTAATGTTAACTAAAACTATTAAAAGATGTTTTCATTATTAAAATAAAGCTAAAATAAAATAAAGTTAAAATACAATAAAAATAGGCACATATTTGATGAACAAATTAAGCTTAAATTTAAAATAAAAATTAAAAATGGTTTCATGAGCAGCTAACTGAAATAAATAACCAAGTTGAAGTACTAAAATTTCTAAAACTAAATCTGAAATAAAAATAAATTAAATAGAAACATTTTTTAAAAATTACACTAAATTGAAACTAAAACTAAAAACAGCTAGATTAAATACTATCATATAATATAATTACTTATTATTATAGTGTTCAATATGCTATTTTTAAATACTATAATAGTATATTAACAATACTAAAATAATTAATACAAATATTTAAAAAAAACGACTAAAAATTACTACTAAATTGAAACGAAAATTCTAAAAACAAAAGCTAATTAAATACTTTTATAGTATATAACAACTTATTATTTTTATAGTATTTAATATACTATTCTTAAATACTAAAATAGTATATAAACAATACTAAAAATAATGAGAAAAAAAAAAAAAGTTAATTAAGTTTTTTTTTCTATATGCAAAACATTGCATGTTATTTTGTTCTGTTGATTTTGGCATGACAGGCCTTGAGAATGAATACTGATTCAACCTATAAATAAATAAATCATGAGTTAATCATACTGCAGCAGCTCTGATTTGACCCATAAACACATTCAGCTAATCAGTCGTTATAATGTAGCCATGATGTAAACCAATGGAGTCGCAGTGAGTGTGAGTCATGTGACATACGCAGCTCTCGAGGCCCCGCCCCTTCTCTCATGGCGTCGTGCTGGCGTGACAGCAGCTCGCGCTCGTCCTGTATCTGCTGGCGCTCTTGCTCGAGTTCACGCAGACGGCTAGCGGTCGCCGTCAGCTCCTGCTCCAGATGCATCTGCAGCTCGGCGTGCTCGCGGATCTGCTGCTCCAGAGCCAGACGCTCGCCGGTGTAGCCGTCAATCAAACCTGCGGCACAAACACACGCCTCCGTTAACCACCACATCATAACTGCTCCATCACACGTCCAGATGAAGCTGAACAGTTCTGGGTGAACAAATAAAATAAAACAAATAAAACATTATTATTATTATTAGGGTTGTCAAAAGTATCAAAATTTTAAAAATGTGATGTTTCCAGCATTTCCCACTTGCATTAATTACATTTTTAACAATTCAGTACTGTTGACAACCCTAATAATAATTATTATTATTAAATAATACAGGTTTAAAACAACATACAAATAAATAAAATTATTATAAATAAATTACAAATAAATAAAACATTATTATTGGTAATATTACTACTACTGATAATAATAATAAATAATAATGTTTGGTAAAACATGATTTTGGGGTGAACAAATAAAATTAAAAACATTATTAATATTAAATAATATATGTTTGAAACAAAATGAGGGTGAGTAAATAATTTTTAGGTGGACAAATAAAACAAAACAAAAGATTATTATATTGTTTATTATTACATCTAATTATTAAATATTGTACTAATTTAAGTAAATTAATCATTATTATTTAAATAAAATAATAATAATAATTATTACTATTAAATAACATGTTTGAAACAAAATGAGGTTGGGTAAATGATTTTTAGATTAACAAATTAAATTGATATTTTATATTGATATTATTAAATATATTAATGCATAAAACATCATTACTCTTAATAATAATATTAATAATAATATGTTTGAAAAGCATGAGGACGAGTAAATGATTTTTGTTTGAACGAACCCATTCATTTCTTTGCATAAAAGAAGTCTATTTTTGTTTGAGGTAATTTTGGACAGCTGATATAAAATATAACATTTCATTAATTTGCATTTGGATGTAAAGGACAGAAACACACACACACACACACACACACACACACACATTGAAAGAAAGTATGTGTGTGTGTGTGTGTGTGTGTGTGCGTCGAGGGAAAAAATATATTAAAAATAGTAAATTATGTTTATCTGAAAGTGTAACAATGCAAACAGGTTTCC